AAATTTGGCACAGATATAAAACAAAGTCTGGAGTACACATGGGATGAGGTTTATCCCCCAGAAATGTCCGGTTCCCGAGGGATACGTAGCTATTTATAATTTATATAGTTCGTATGTTTTCTAATACTACGCGGACGAAGTTGCGGGCAACAGTTCGTTATAAATACAAATGAGTAACGTCTCGGCCTCGGCGTGTCACACATTGAGGTTGCACCGTACAAAGTTCCGGTGAACATTTTTGGTTGTTGTTCCCTGTTTTATTTATCCTCTAATGTCTTAGTTTTAATGGAATATGTCGAATATATAAGCGAATGTGATATTTTTCTTACTTATAGAATCTTTATACTTATCCAGTTATTGCTGTCTTTAGTACAAATGGAAAAGGAATTAGAAATAAAACACAGAAATAAGACAATGTTAAATAATGTATTGTGTCATCAGCGGGATGTCTCTCGGGCAGAGGTTCGTGCACCAGCTCCAGGCTGCTGCTGACCAGCGCCGTCTCCTGACACAACTCGACATCCACCTGCCTCACACTGGGGCTACCTTGTCCGGGACTGGGGCTGACATGTCCCGGACTGGGACTGACTTGTTCCAGACTGACTTCTATCAGAGGGTTTACAATGTCAGTTTCCGGCAGACTATCGTCGGATTCCTCTGAACTATCTTCTATCTCTATATTGTCTATTATTTCTATCTTCTTCTTTGTTCTTGATCTGGAAATCATTTAATAAGATTTGATTTGAGAGTTTAAATAATTTGATGCGGATGACGCTGCACGAGAACAATTAGTTACGTATGTATTGACTAGCCGTTGCTCGCGACTTAGTCCGTGTTCAAGGAGTTATTATACGTTTTTAGAGTCAAGCCATTAGAAAAGAAGAAGAAATTAAAAATTAGAACACATTGTCGACGTCATCACTTTTTTTCTAGTCTTTTTCTGTACATATTTTACCAATACACATGTCTCCGTTAAAAATAGTTTTATTTCTAAATCTTTTACGATATACATTCCGCGTAGAATTAAATAAAAATAGTAAAAATGTAGCCTATGTTATTCACTGATAACATATTTTTTTATTCGCGCAAGAATTTGAAATCGTCCCAGTAGTTTTTAAGTTATTTGACGCGGAGGGAGTCGCGGGCGACAGCTAGTGGGTGAAGTAAATAGTACGTTTACCGTTTGGGATAGGGATGGTGCAGGTGCGAGGTGCGGTAGTGCAGCTTCATGCTGTTGCTCTGCGTGAAGCGCTTCCCGCATGCGGGCTGCGGGCACAGGAACGGCTTCTCCCCCGTGTGCGTCTGCAAATATACACACTCATTTTAAACGAATTAATTGTATTAGTAAAATCCAAACAAAAACACATAACATTTAACCTGATATCTAACAAAATTTTGAATATATGGACGTTTCTCTACGTATCTCCAAAACGGCTTAACAGATCTCGATAGAAGTCATAAATATAGATTATAGTCTGGAAGTATTCAGTCTAATTACTAAAATCTTTATTAATTCCATGCAGACAGAATCGCTGTCAAGAGCTAACATAAACAACAACTTGCAAATATTAACAAAAAAAAACCGTAATAACCCTTATTGGTACCACTTATTACGATTGAATTCTTTTAGTTTGCGAAATTTCAGCACAGTTGCATGCATGCAG